GTGGTCTTTAAAAAAAAAAAAAAAAAAACATATTTAAATTTTTTTAGGTTTTAATGGAAATACTCAACATACTGTATGTTGTAATTATGTTTTTTTTAATGATTTTAAGGGTTTCTATGACCAAAGATGACCAAAATATCTAGACACAGTGTATCAAAAGCTTTAATATTTTTTTAATAGTGTCACTTACTGGACATAAAAATAACGGCTGGACAGTGGTCTTTTGTTTAGGTCTGACGGCTTTAGTCAGGATGTTTCATAGATGCCATAGATGATTTTTGGATAAGGTGGCGCATGAGTCATTTGCTCTGTTTGCAGACACTGAACAGTGAAGTCAGATTAATTTGCTTATAAATTCTTCACTTTGCTTTTCATGCAAATGGCCAGGCTTCCATCTTATTTAATGCACACAACCAGCCTTTAAGAGCTAACAATGTGCATTATGCGCTGCTTTTCACTGGATAATCTCAGTACATCAGATGTGTCAGTAACTGCTGTTAAAGCACGCACCAGTTGGCACATCTTGTTCTGCGATGGACAGCTATGGTTTTGTAAATTTCCCAGCTCAGAATGGACAGAGATTTTTTAACCCCCGCTTCCCCCCGCCCCCTTTTTTCATAAGGCAATGTGAGAACGGCAAGTGCTTTGAGGGTGCGAAAGAATTTATAGCTTTTCTCAAAAGAAGATAGGCCATCACCCCTCACCCGTCTCACTGTCAGCCGCGTATATGCCTTACACCGGAGGAGATTGATGCCCCTAAACTTAATGGAGGGCCTCGGTGACTTAGGAGAACAGGAAGAAAGAATATTTTCAATCCATTTCCCCAATCCAGACATGTAAGTGTTGTATCCATTAAAACCGACTGAGGGCTGAGGTTAAAGCAGGCGCTGTGACTCACCCGTCTTACAGGAATCCGGACACTTAACTTAGCAGTGTTGGAACACCTTAATGCAGACATTCACTCGTAAAAATAGAAATAGAAGAAAAACTTTCAGTGAATAGTTATTAAAAAAACACTGTTTTCTTATAGTGTGAAGAACATTTGAATAATCTACCACACCCTTTTCCACTAAAAATTTCTCAAGTTCCATAGCAGAACATGAATTTCCCTCAATGCCACAGAAGAACCTTTTTAAACTATTTTATGACACCATTTGAGAACCTTTTAAGTTCATATGATGCCATATACTTTTAAGAATAAAGATTCTAAAAGAGAGTTTTCACAGCGATGTCACAGAAGAATCATCTTGGGTTCCCAAAGAATCAGCGAACAGTTAAAAGAAACATTTTAACAGTCTTGTGTGGGAAGGAAAGATTCTTGCAATCTTGAAATGTAAAAAGAACAATAAAAACAGCAATGCCAGAGATGAACCTTTTTTTTTTTTTGGTTCCCCAAAGAACCTTTCAGTAAAGAGTTCTCAAAAAAAGAGTTCTTTTTTGCTTATTGTTAAGAACATTTTAATCATCTAATACACCTTTTTCCACTATAAAGAGCCGTTGTCCAATGGAAACGTTCCATGGATGTTAAAGGAAATATAGATGCATATAAAGAACCTTCACTCTTAAAACTGAAGGTTCTTTACTGGCTTTGATGGTTCCATGAAGAACCGTTAACTTCTGTGGAAACTTTCTATTCCACAAAAGACGGGAAAAAATTGTTATTTTAAGAAATGTTCACTGAAAGGTTCTTTGGGGAACCAAAAATGGTTCTTCTATGGCATCACCACACACACACACACACACACACAAAAACTTTTGAAATCTTTATTTTTAAGAGTGCATAAAGAACGTTTTATGGAATGGAAAAATTCCAGGAATATTCTAGGAACCACAGATGCCAGTGAAGAACTTTTATTTTAAAGTGTGTATTCTTAAAAATAAAGGTTTAAAATTGAGTTTTTCTCCAGTGGTGCCATAGAAGAACCATTTTTTGGTTCGTTAAAGAGCCTTTCATTGAATATTTCTTGTTTCTTAGTGTGAAGAACATTTTAATCATATCTATAAAGAACATTCGTCCATTGGAAAGGTTCCATGGATGTTAAAGGTTCCTCACGGAACCATCAACCCTAATAAAGCACCTTTATTTTTAAGAGTGTATTGTGTAACAAACACAATATATCTGCAAAAATCATTATAATAAAATACATATACTGTATATGACCCCTTAAATTGTTTAAATGTAGAAGAGAGATGAGCGTATTTGGTACCTCGATTTGAGTGGTGTATGACGCGCCGTTCTCATTGTTGCACAAGCCAATGGGTGAGCTCGGTCCAGAACCTGCAGGGCTCTCATTGGCTGAAGAATCTACAGGGGAGGAGAACAGGAAGTGCTTAAAGAGAATATAGCGGTCAGCTCTAATAATGGGCGTCACTAGGCCAAAATTTCTACTCAGCCCCCCTAAAATTTTTTTCAATTAGCTCCATAAACTGTACACAAATTCATGATCGCCTCAGTCCCCTTTAAATTTCATATGAAAACGGCGTCAGACTTTGACTCTTCCCGGTCTTTCAGAACGTTCTTCAATCCGCTGACCGCGGTGGGAGCGGGAAACAGAGGACAAGGTGTGTGTTTACCGATAGATTGTTATAATATAATAAAGGTTTAAAATTGAGTTTTTCTCCAGTGGTGCCATAGAAGAACCATTTTTTGGTTCGTTAAAGAGCCTTTCATTGAATATTTCTTGTTTCTTAGTGTGAAGAACATTTTAATCATATCTATAAAGAACATTCGTCCATTGGAAAGGTTCCATGGATGTTAAAGTTTCCTCACGGAACCATCAACGCTAATAAAGCACCTTTATTTTTAAGAGTGTATTGTGTAACAAACACAATATGTCTGCAAAAATCATTATAATTTAAGACCAAGTTTTATTTTTGTCCAGCTAATCACAACCAGCCATACCATTCCACCAACAAGCACTGTTTTTAGATAAAGACAAGCCTTTAAAATGGACCGTCTGTCCATCAGGACACAAAGAGGACTCTATATATTTAGTAAAAACAAACGTCTATCACGCACGGACTGAAGGTGCAGAAAGGAGGGGTGTGCAGTCTAGACGCTTTATGACGGCAATTTGATTTATAAATAAATAAGAGGTGATTTACCAGGTGCTTGACTATAGAGAGCCAGAACCATGGGCGTCGCTAGGCCATTTCTAAAAATTTTGCAATTAGCTCCATAAACTGTACACGAATTCGTGATCGCCTCAAGTCCCCTTTAAAGTTCATATGAAAACGGCAATATAAAATTAATTAACTACCATACAGTCATGCACAGAAATGATTGAAGACAGTGACAGAGAGTACTTGAGCATATAAAGAGGTTTGTACACTTGAGCTAATGACAGAGGTGTGTACTAGAAATGCAAACAATAAAATTGTGTGTGTGTGTGTGTTTGTGATCAGGAAGACTTGTATTTGGCTTATTCAGAACTCAAATAGTATACCCATCTAACTTAT